CACAGTGCGCTTTTCTTTCCTTCTAGTTGTAGAATTTACAGTCAGCCAGGCTTCCTGTGGTTCTGGATGATGTCTGTATTGTTTTTCTGAGGTATTAATCAATTGTTGTGAGCGGCATCAACTTCCCGGTGTTTATCTGCCGCCATCTCAGTGTGTATCTCTGCCGCCATCTTAGTTTCTCCTCTTTATCTTTTCTATTTCTCCTCAGTGTACCTTTTTTTTTTCAACAGAAACTATAGTGGGTAGGAAAAGCAAATTTTACTTTAAACCTTTGTAATTAAGCCAAGTTTGTACTGAATTATAAACAAAGTAGTTTTTCAGGGTAGAATTCTATTCACAGGTCCATGAGTATAGGGAAAGTCACATGAAAGGGCATTTCAATTCATGAAAAAAAAGTGTTGGGGTAATTTCTTATAATTACTATCTCACATCATGCACAAGGAGATGAATGCTGTGTGAATTACAGATTCTTAAGATCTCCCACATTCCCTATTCCCTTCCTCCATCTTTAAAAAAATATTTTATTGATTTCAGAGAGGAAGGGAGAGGGTGAGAGAGATAGAAACATCAATGATGAGAGAATCATTGATTGGATGCCTCTTGCATGCCCCCCACTGGGGATCGAGCCCATAACCAGAGCATGTACCTTTGACCGAAATTAAACTGGGACCCTTCAATCTGCAGGCTGAGGCTCTGTCCACTGAGCTACACTAGCTAGGGCCTGCTGGGGTCCAACCCCAGCAGGTCCAGGGGTCCCCAAAGGTGTGGACGGAGTCGGCAAAGAAGGAATGACACGGAGACAGCGTTCAGTTGATCAGCAGCCTTGCCAGGATCTCTAGCCACAATCTCCAGCCAAGTTCTGTGTCCATGTTCTCTTGCTAGGTCCTCCAGCCAGGTTCTCCAGGTTCTTCAGGCAGGTTCTGTAGCCATGTTCTCTCGCTAGGTTCTCCAGCCTGGTTCGGTTTAGGTTCTCCAGCCAGGTTCGGTCGCCAGGTTCTGTAGCCGGGTTCTTCAGCCAGGTTCTGTCTAGGTTCTCCAGCCAAGTTCTGTAGCCAGGTTCTGTCCAGGATCTTTTGCCATGTTCTCTCCAGTGAAGTTCTTCGGTCTCTAGGTTCTGTGTAGGTTCTGTCTTCTAAGTTCTGTCTTCTAAGTTCTGTGTTCTAAGTTCTGTCTCCTAAGTTCTGCGTCCTGTTGTCTTGTTGCATCTGTATTTATACCAGTTGATTCAATCCTATCAATCTCTATTCCAAAGGTTAGGGCGTTTCTTATCTCCATTCCAGGGAATAAAGATTATGTACTTAAGCATGATTGTTCGTAGTTAAAGTGATTAATTACCTGCCTGGCAGTTAAGAGGTTTTATTCCCTCCCTAACTTCAGGGGAAAATCCCTACCTGGGGAAACAACCTTTCTCGGAGAGGTGACCTTGGTTAAAACACATAGTGCCAAGAAGCTGACCACACATATTAAGAACAGTATGCCATATATGCCAGGTCCCTTGAAACAGCAAGGATGGACCGGCTCCCGGCAAGGGCCCTTCTTCCATCTTCAGAGGCACAATATTGTGTCTCTCTGACCATTCTTTCTGTCTCCACGCCACAGAAAGATTCTCCATTTTTTTAAGGACTAGGGGAGTATATTGGGGCCACCCTGGTAATCCAGGATAACCTCTCCCATTTTAAGTCCCAATTTGATTAAATCTGCAAAGTCCACTTGCCATGAAAGAGAACAGATTACAGGTTTCAAGAATTAAGACATGGGAATCTTTGAGGAGCAATTGTTCTACATACCACAATATTGTAAATAACAATAAAGATGATGAAATACTGGCATTATAAAATTATTTCTCACATCAAAAGCAAATAAAATCTTATTCTTACTTCTTCTCTTCTTGACTTTTTCTGAAATGGAGTTGTTTCCAAAATCCAAAGTACCTACAACAAACAGATGGTGGTGAGAAAATGGAAATGATTAAATAAGACTTAGAAGTTTGCCCTTGCTGTGGTTAAGGCATCAACCCCCGATCAAAGGGCCGCTGGTTCAATTCCTGATCAAGAGCATGTACCTCGGTTGCAGGTTCCATCCCAGACCCCAGTTGGGGAAAGTGGGGGAAGCAACTAGTCAATGGCAATGTTTTTTTGCCCCCCCTCTCCTCCTCATTCCCTTTCACTCTCTCTAAAGATCAACGGAAGAAATATTCTCCAGTGAAGATTAAAAGAAAAGTTACAAATTTTAGGATGGTTCATACTGCAGAAGGCTTGAGTTTATAAAGGTGTTTGATTTATTGCTTCTTCTAAAATAACCACAACCACGAACCTACTACACTGAGAAGTAGGACTTCAGAATTGGCCCTGGGTCTTCCTTTATTTCTCAATAACATTTTGAAAAATACTCTTAAACACCTTTGTACTCAGAGGTAAGACCAGGTCTCATATACTTAAGATTTTTATGAGGAGGTTTGTGCAAAAGTTTGTATGACATCACAGTATAAGCCTGTGACATGCTAGAGCAAAGACACACATAAAAAGTATGTGCTGGGTTGCCTGGCTGGTGTGGCTTAATATTTGAGTGTTGACATATGAAATAGTTCAATTTTAGGTCAGGGTGCATGCCTGGGTTGTGGGCTGATCCTGAGTAAGGGGCGTGCAGGAGGCAGCCTATCCATGATTCTCTTTCATCATTGATGCTTCTATCTCTCTCTCCCTCTCCCTTCCTTTCTGAAATCAATAAAAAATATATTTTTTAAAAAATGTGCTGGGTTAAGAATAGTTGATTTGATGTTTTTTTCCTAATGCCAAAAGAATCAGGCTAAGCAAAAAGAATGGGATTCTGCCATGAACCGGACCCATTTTTTTGTCAGTGTGATCAGAGTCAAGTTCAACAGAAAACGGAGCTCTCATTTCAGACTTCTGACATTCTGCTGCCCCAGTCCTGTGACTCTCACCTTCATAACTGACCCACTTTTCGCTGGTGAGCTGCCTGATATTATTGATTCTTGATCACTCATCACTGACATACCAATCATCTATGGTAACTTCTAAATCACCTCCACCCCAAGACCTTGGTTAGCTTTGCCCCTTATGTCAGATGCTTGTCTACTTTCAGTCCCTGCCTCTTGGCCTCTTGGCCTCTTGGCACATCTTATGATGAACAAATAATGCAGAAACACTTCTTATTTCCAGGTATTTCTAACTGTCATGTACAGACAGTTATTCTTTGACTCTGATAATTTCATAAAAATGTTTTCTATAGCCCAGCCAGTTTGGCTTAGTGGTTGAGAGTAGACCTATGAACCAGGAGGTCGATTCCTGGTTGGGGCAGATGCCTGGGTTGTGGACTTGATCTCCATTGTAGGGCATGCAGCACTGACATACCAATCATCTATGGTAACTTCTAAATCACCTCCACCCCAAGACCTTGGTTTAGCTTTGCCCCTTATGTCAGATGCTTGGCTACTTTCAGTCCCTGCCTCTTGGCCTCTTGGCACACCTTATGATGAACAAATAATGCAGAAACACTTCTTATTTCCAGGTATTTCTAACTGTCATGTACAGACAGTTATTCTTTGACTCTGATAATTTCATAAAAATGTTTTCTATAGCCCAGCCAGTTTGGCTTAGTGGTTGAGAGTAGACCTATGAACCAGGAGGTCGATTCCTGGTTGGGGCAGATGCCTGGGTTGTGGACTTGATCTCCATTGTAGGGCATGCAGCAGGCAGTCGATCAATGACTCTCTCTCATCATTGATGCTTCTATCTCTCCTTCTTCATTTCTCTTTGGAATCAATAAAAATATGTTTAAAAAATATTTCCTACAAAAATGCTTCAAAAATATTCATTTAAAAAAGATTCATTTCAACAGTTCAGCACTTACCTGGACTGTTGAACCAACAGAAGAATTAAATTTAAAATTACTAGGAAGTAAAGCAGATTACATCTATTGTGGACAACTAACCCAATATTCTGGTCCAGGCCTGCCTGTATAGTCTCCACCCTCATATTTCATTTTTTCCTTATTTAGTCCCTTTTTACCTCACAAATAATATAAGAGGCGAAGCACTCACAATAACAGTTAATGTTTCCTTTTATCCTTAATTTCTGACTGGAAAGAACATTGGGCATTATCTTTAAACCTACTTCATAGGTCAAAACATAAAACTGATTACACATATAGTCAAGTATGTTGAATACCTGGTGATATCAGACCAAATAAAGATTTGAAAGAATACTTTTTCCTCTTGGGTAGGAATTGCAATGACCACCCCCAAAACAGACAACCAGAAAAATGTTTAAATTTCTTTGCATGCATTACATTAGACAACAGAATTACTTTTGACCAAATCTTTCCTGAACAAAATGGGATTTGCTCTATTCCTAATACCTCCTATTATACTTGGATGAAACATTTCTGATAAAATAAAAATTAAGCTAGATAAAATGTAGGTATAAGCAAAATAATTACATACAATGTCCACTGATACCACATGTTTGTTTAATATTTTCATGTGATTGCCTGTGTGGCTCAGTGTCATAAAGATGCTACTCTAATAGTGGTTGCTCAACATTTTTTAAATGATCACTAAGGCCTTTGAGACTTCATATGAGAAACCTCAAGGGATGATAGATGTTTTCCCTTAAAGAAACATGACAGGAAAGCCTTCCTCTGTTCTGATGCTCTTGTGGCTCAAATGTGGCCTATCGCTCCTAAGAAAAGAGAAAACCACTCCTTTTCCTATGTGACATGCAATACTGGGAATGAGCCTTCCTGGCGATGAGGGACCAACAATGGCATAACATTCCCAAACTGAGCCATCTGACAATGGAGAACCAATGATGCTTTTAATAACTGATCAGTGCTGCTCTTTTTTTTTCTTTAAAAATATTTTTATTGATTTCAGATAGGAAGGTAGAGGGGTAGAGAGATAGAAACATCAATGAGGAGAATCACTGACTGGCTGCCTCCTGTATGCCTCACTGAGAATTAAGCCAGCAACCTAAGCATGTGCCCTGACTGGGAATCCAACCATGTCTTCCTGGTTCATAGGCTGATCCTCAACCACTGAGCCACATCAGCCAGGCGATCAGTGCTGCTTTCTACACTTGATCTTAGCCAAAAGGCCGAGAAGCGATAGTGCTGCTTTCTGATAATTAATCAGTTATGCTTTCAAGGAAAGCTCTTGATCAAAAGGTAAAATTTGTAAAATTATATATAAATGAAGCCACTTTAAATTGCCATGCCAGAATAACTTCATTGCATGTCTTATGCTTCAAACATTTGCACTGTTAAAACAGGGCAAAACACCCTTGGGACTGGACTTAAAGCAATAGTGTATCTCAAAGAATTGTTTTCAAGGATAGCAAGAAAACAGACATGACTTTGGGACTGATGGCTACCAAGCTGAAAATTAAAAACATTGCTTATAATTAGCATCATTTTATTAGCTCATCTTCACCAATAGAAATGCCTTTCTTCTATTGATGTAAATATTCCCCTTGCGTTTCTTATAAATATCTCTGGACTTTGTCTCCTCATTGGAACACTTTTTATGCTTCTGCCTGAATAAGTGCTTTTCTGAATCCTTTGACCTCAAATAAGTGCTTGTTGCCTCTCACTTTGTAAAGCATTTTATTTTCAGGTACACAGTTTCCTAGAAGTAATAGAATGAAGGCATATGGAGGATACTCAGAAAAAGATTCCTGAGGAAAACAAAGCTCTAAATTTTGATGCTGGATACCTGTCATCTAGGAGTGCAACCTTAATATTAATATCTTGTTAGCATTGTATGCAGAGGGCTTCTTGGGTTGCTCCTCGCCCACTTATTTCTAACGAGTCCAGGGTATTGATCACTGCATAAAGGAATAAGATGCTTTGTGTGTCTCAGTGAGTGGCCAAGGAACCAACCCCACAGGAAATTCACTAATGAGAAAACTTGGAAAAATCTTGAACACCCATGTAAATTATGGCCTGCATTCAGGCCACCTGGTCTCTCCTCCTAAGTCACTTGCCTTGTGAACTATTGCTCCTCTATTTCCTGTCCCCAGAGTTGAGACAAGTCACTGCTCCATTGAATATTACTTTCCCATACTTCTCTCTCTTCTTCTTCCTCTTTCCCCTTCTATTATCTATTTGTTCTTAAATACTTTCTCAATATGTTTTCCTAAATAGACATGTTTCCAATATCTTCTGAGAAAGTAGGAAGGGAAAACCCATCACCAGTCTGTGCACTAAAGAGCTGCTGGTCTTCTGACCACTGGTGCTGCCCATAGGATTAGGGAAACAATGTTCTATTAACTGCTTCAAGCTCTAATTTTACAAAGGATATAACACAGAATCCAGGAAGCTAGTCTTATCTTTCCCTTTATCTACATGTGACTTTGTAGGAGATTTTAAACATTTATGTGATTTTATTTTCTCATTTAGAAACAAGAGTAACAATGGCCATCTTTCTCACTCCTCAGGGTTGTTGTAAAGGAAAAGGTAAGACACTATTTGCAAAGATCCTTTGTAAAGTCATTCCATATGTCATGACTTTCAGGAGAACTCTCTAAAAAAACAACACTTTGGGTTTTAAAAAACTATCCATTTCTGCTAACACAGGAGAACTGGAGTAATTGACCCTCAACACTACTCAAACTTTGTGATTAGATGACAATATGACCTTCCAATAAAGAAATATTTAGCTTTCTCCTCTCTGTAGAAATCACTGTATAAATCCAACACTTTATAATCATAGAATTAGTTTTAAAATAAATTCACTACTTTGCTAGCCTATTTTTACTATACAATCAATAGATGGGTGCATAGCTTGATTAATAGCACCTATGAATTAATAGTCCTCATGTTTAAAAAATATAAATATAATGATTTCTTACTACCTTGCACATCCAAAAGGTCAAGTAAAATTAACATAGAGAATGGGATTCCAGGATAAACTGGGTCTGTGGTATAGGATGAACTCAGAATTGATGCCTCAGGAAACAGTGCCTCTTAATTAAGGTTCCTGCACCTCAAACCCCGAGCTCCCATCTCCTTACCTGGCTCCCTTTTCAATGCTGAGGTGGAAGCTTCAGGGGGCTCACCTCCATCACTGGATTCTCTGGAGTCCTCACTGTTGATCTCTGCACAAAGGAGAAAAAACCCATAGTGTCTCAGGGTGGGGTCATGGCAACCACTGAGTGGAAACCTCTTCATGGGAGCATTAGGAAAACCTAGAAGCCAAGTTAACTCAGGTCCCTCTGGTCTGTGCCCGATGTGGGTGACCTGCAGGTTGCTTCAGGTCCTATTCAGAAGGTGATGAAGTTCATGCACAGAGGGCAGCTTTGCCCAACCTGAAGCATTTTTCTGCCCCCACCCTCGCTCAGCTTGCTATCCCCATCCCCATTCTACCTCAACTCCATGTTCACTTTATCTCTACCTCCACTCTCTTTCTATCTCCCCCCTCATTCTACTTCTTTCTTTCATTCTTTCTTTGTATCATTCCAAACATGCCTAAATATTTATTAGCTAGAAAGATGGATCAGAGAGAAGTATATAGTGTAACTTTTAAAAATGGCTTCAAATTATATATTTTTAATATATATATTTATTATTATCATTTTAAATTTAATTTATTGGGGTGATACTGGTTCACAAAACCATATAGGTTTCAAGTGCACAACTCAATAAAGCATCATTTGCACACTGTTTTATTGCCCATCACCCCAAGCAAAGCCTCTTGGTTCAGCCATTTTTGCTAATGATGCTGGTTTCTGGCAAAGGTATCTCTCTTTATACTTTTCCTTGTCTTCATGTGAGTGTTTTTTTTTCTTTCTCATCTCCTTTCATGAATATGTTTGCTCTCTGAAAATTTTCCCTTTCCTTTAACTCTTATCCCAACACCTTCCTTTCTTTGGATATATAATATACTCTCTGATATCAATATTTTAATTTACCAGTTACTGGGGTTGTGTTCTGCTGGATTCCCTGCATAAGGCACTTGTTCCCTCCCCTTTCTACCTCTAACCAAGGTCACCAGGACTGTCTCCATGGGCCCTGATGACATGTCCCAGACCCTTGCCTGAAACTGGGATTCACATCACATATTCTTTCTGTCAGCCTTACCTATACTGATAGAAACCTGGTTACAGCCAGTCCTTGCTTGGGCTTCACATTCAACACCTGAATATAAAAAAGGCATTTTCTTCTTTATATCCACCAGGTCTACAGAGCAGGAACTGGTTTTGTTTCCATGGTGGAGTAGCTTTGCTCCTGGACAAAATTGTAATAAATGAAGAATTTTATTAGTTTCCCCTAAGGGAGTGAGCACTCTCATGACAGTCAATAAGCCCTTCTCCCTATAATTCCACTGCAGGGGACAGCTCCCCCAACCCTGTCCTTTCTCTGTGCCTCTCCTTTTTTTAAAAATATATTTTTATTGCTTTTTAGAGAGATAGGGAGGAAGAGGGATAGAGAGATGGAAACATTGATGAGAGAGGAACATCACTGATCAGCTGCCTCCTGCACACACCCCTACAGGGCATGGAGCCTGCAACCCTAGTATGTGCCCTGATGGGAATCAAACCAGCCACCTTTGGGTGCCTGGGAGGACGCTGACCAAACTGAGCCACACTAGCAGGGCTCCTCTGTTTTCTTTTGGCCCTCTGTATTTTGCACTGTATTCTCTTTCTTCTTTTACATGTAGCATATGGATTTGTGTTCATGTCTGTAATTGTATTATATTTTAGCTCTGATTCTTTCCTAAGGTGGTCTTAGAAATCTGGAATTAAAGAAGGCAGATCTCTCATTTGGCTGCTTCCCAGAATGACTTTGTGAAATAGAGCACCTCCCGCCCCCTTCGTCTAAAACCCTTTGGAATGTTTACTTGAGAAAAATATTAAAATTCTATTGTGTGTGAGTGATTGACCTCCTTAAGTTTATTTGTCACAGCCATTAGCCTAACTACAAAAGTTAAATATGCACTATCTTAAATTAAAGCAAATTTTTTTTTAATATATTTTATTGATTTTTTACAGAGAGGAAGGGAGAGAGATAGAGAGTTGGAAACATCGACCCGCTGCCTCCTGCACACCTCCTACTGGGGATGTGCCCGCAACCAGGTACATGCCCTTGACCGGAATCGAACCTGGGACCCTTCAGTCCGCAGGCTCATGCTCTATCCACCAAGCCAAACCGGTTAGGGCTGGATTCTGTTTTTAAAGAACATGTTCTTAGTTCATTTGCCCTGCATAAGAATACTAAAACTTCTCTGATGAGGGGTACATCACCCACAAAGCATGTGTGCATGTGTGTTGTGGTGGGAGCACGCTAGAACTGAAGTTAAGCCTGAGTCTCTCTTACAAAATTCAGCTTCCCGTGATTGTTGGCTGGGCAAGGGGAATGGCTTTAGTAAAGTGTAGTCTC